TGTAGACCAGGCTGGCCTTGAACTCAAGAGATCCACCTGCCTCTGCCTTGAGTGCTGGGATTAAAGGCCTGTGTCATCACACCTGGCTCACAATGTGCATTTTTAAGCTAATAAAAATATTTATTTATTTATTTATTTAGTGTTTGTGTCTGCGTGTGTGTATGAGTGTTTTGCCTGCATATATGTAAGTGCACCATGTGTATGCAATGCCTACAGAAGCCAGGAGAGGGTGTCAGATCCTTGGAACTGGAGTTCAGATGGTTGTTAACCGCCATGTGGGTGCTGGGAATGGAACTCTGGTCCTCTGAAAGAACAGCAAGTGTTTGTTAACTGCTGCGCCATCTCTCCAGCCATGTACTTTTCTTTTTTAAAAATTTTTTATTTGGAGCTGGAAAGATGATTCAGTGATTAAGAGCACTGACTGTTCTTGCAGAGGACCCAGGTTTGATTCCTAGCACCCACTTGGCAGCTAACAACTGTCCGTAATTCCAATTCCAGGGAATCTGATGCCCTCTTCTGACCTCTGCAAGCACTGCATGCATATAGTGCACTTACATGCAGGCAATATACTCATTCACATAAAATAAAAATAAAATATTTTTAAATTTTTATTTATTGTATGTGTATACATTATGTTGTGTGTGGGGGTGCCACATTGAGCATGTGGGGGATCAGAGGATAGCATTGTGCAGTTGGTTCTCTCCTTCCCCCTTTTGTGGAATCCAGGGGTCAAAAGCACCTCTACCCACTGAGCTTTGGTCAATGCCTTGTACTTTTCTTGTGTGTTATATTTCTTGGGTTTTTTTTTTTTTTGAGACAGGGTCTCCCTGTAGCCCCAGCTATCCTAGAACTAACGATGTAGGCCAGGCTGGCCTCAAACTCACAAAGATCCCCCTGCCTCTGCCTCCCAAGTGCTGGGATTAAAGGCGTGTGCCACCACACGTGCCTTATTTTTTAGGTTTTAAAAAAATATTTTATTTATTATTTTTATTTTTTATGTGTATGAGTGTATTGCCTGCATGTATGAAAGTGCACCTGTGTCCGGCAATGCCCTTGGAGGTCAGAAAGGGGCTTCAGATCTCCTGGAACTGGAGTTATGGATGGTTGTTAGCTGCCATGTGGGTGCTGGGTATTGACTCTGGGTACTCTGCAAGAGCAATCAGTGCTCTTAACTGCTAAGCCATCTCTACAGCCTGTTGTATTTCTAGTTTTTAAAAAACCTCAGAATAAACACTGGAAGCATAGATAAACAATGTTTAATGAAACCATACAATGTACGTCGTTCTCAAATAGTTACAACATAAAAGCATATAAATTCTATAGTAAAAATTAGTAAAAGAGACCATTTTAATACTGATACGACAATAGCAGCTTGGCAAATGTTTACCTATCAGATTTCTATAATTTTTCTTTCTTCTTCTTTGAGTCAGGACCTCACCACTAGGTTGCCCAGGAAGGCTGCTGGCCTTGAGCTTTCATTCCTTCCACCTCAGAGCCTTCCACAAAGCAGGGACTACAGGCAGAAACCACTATGCCCAAGCTAGTAGAACAAGCTGGCCTTGATCTTAAAGAGATCTGCCTGCCTTGGCCTCCTGAGTGCTGGGACAAAAGGTGTGTACCACCCCAACCAGCTTAGCTTCTTTTTTGCTAATGAATCTTTTTATCCCACAAGAATGATCAAGTCATTTACATTACATCAATACAGTATATAGTGGTTAAGTAATACTGTAAACATTTATAAACATAAGTGCCCCACAAAATACCATTCTATTACAAGTACTTTTTTTTTTTTTCATCTTTTGGAGACAGGGTCTCCCTGTAGTCCCAGCTGTCCTGGAATTCACTATGTAGACCAGGCTGGCCTTGAACTCAAAAAGATCCGCCTGCCTCTGCCTCCCGAGTGCTGGGATTAAAGGCGTGCGCCACCAAGCCCGCTACAAATACTTTTTACTTTCAGTGATCATTTACCTTATTTTTACATAATATAAAAGTAGCTAGTAGGTTTCAATAAAAGTTTGGCCAGACGTGTGGTGTATACATATCACTCAGTATGTGGGAAGTGGAGGAAAGATCAGAAGTTCAAGGTCATCCTTGACTAAACAGCAAGTCTGTGGAGGGACAGAATGAACTACAAGAGATCCTGTCTCAACAAACCAGAAACAACCAAGCAACAATAACAACAACAATTAGAAGCATCCAATTAGAAGCAAATACATCTCTTCTGTATTATAAACCTAAGTGTAAATCTCATAAACAGAACTGCTTCTTAGGTAGTAAACATTGTCCCCAGGTCTATTCTAGTCTGGTGGAAACTTTCCAACAACACTACTTGGCATTTCAAAGCAACATTTCTAATGGAAATACAGGTATTTGGCCTGGATATATAACTCAGTGGTAGGGTGCCTTACCTAGCATGTGCAAGGCCCTGGGTTCAATCTCCAGGATCAAAAATAAATTTAAAAATAGTCAACACGGGGGCTGGAGAGATGGCTCAGCGGTTAAGGGCACTGACTGCTCTTGCAGAGGACTCGGGTTCAATTCCCAGCACCCACATGGCGGCTATGAACCGTCCTTAACTCCAGTTCCAGGGGAATCCAAAGCCTTCTTCTGACCTCCCCGGCATTGCACGACACAGGTGCACTCACATACATGCAGGCAATACACTCATACACATAAAATAAAAATAAAATATTTTAAAAAATAGTAAACAACAAAACACAGGCAATTCTGGGAGACTGCTAAACTACCTTTCTAGCTCAAGTGAACCAGAGGGTTGAAATTTCAAGGATGTTATGTTTGTAGCTGCTTCATATCAGACTAGAAAGTTCAGTGAACATCTGGTCTTTTTTTTGTCTTTTTGTTGGCTGTTTTTAGGATGGTCTCTCTAGTCATAGCCAACCTGGAAGTCACAATGTGAACCAGGGTAGCCTCGATCTTGCAGAGATCCATCTGCCTCCCGAGGGCCGTGACTACAGGCATGCACCACCACTCCTGGCAGTCTTTTTTTTAATGGATGAGAAGCCATTACCTTTATTCTTGGAAGTGCAGAGGATAACAGCATCAAAGGTAATTCTGGGACCTAGGGCATGGCTCAGAGGTGGGAACACTTGCCTAAGTATGCTCAAAGCCCTGAGGTTCATCCTGCATGGGAAAAAAAGATAGCTACTCCTGCACCTTGCACCACATTCCCCCGAAAGGGATTCACCCTTCCACTATACCTAGCACATATGTGATGGAGATCCTGGCTGAAGCTACACAGTGTCCACTGCTAAGAAGACACTTAACAGTGTCTTAAGTAAATGGTGGGATCCCAAAAATAAACTGCAGCTTTTCAGGGACTGACAAATAAGGTTGTTAAGGCACTCAGTTAAATGTGCACTTTAGATTAATAATGAAATATATACATATACATGCATATGTTTATGTATTCGTTACTTTTCCAGTTGCTCTAATAAAATACCTGGGAAAAGCAATTTAAGGAGTTAACAGTTCAAGGTTGCAGTCCATCATAGGAGGTAGGGAGTCAAGGCTGCAGGAGCTCGAAGCAGTGGATCACACTGCATACACAATCAAGAAGAGGAAAGCAATGAGTGCTTGTGCCCAACTTACCTCCCTCTATACAGTCCAGGATCCTTGAGAATAGTGCTGTCCACAGTAGGTGGGTTGTCCTATCTCAATTAACCTAATCAAGAGAATCTTCCAGAGACATGCCCAGGGACCCAGTTCCCAGATAATTAAAGATCTCATCAACTTGACAGTTGAGATTAACTATATTATAATATTAACAGTATTGTGTATACGTGTTTTAGTGCTGGAGACTGAACCCAGGACCATGCACATACTAGGCAAGTGCTATACCACGGATCTTCCTGCAAAAACCTAAATAATTATTTAGTGTGTGTGTCTCATTAAGGAGATACTTAAACTAAAAATTTGAGGGCAGAGGGTTACAGCTCAGTGGTAAAGTATGTGCTTAGCATGCACAAGGCCCTGGGTTCAATCTACAACACTCACAAAATGTTATTTGTTGCTTAATGGGACAGATTTATACTGACAGCTTGTGGTTTATTTGAAATGCAAATTTAATTGAGTATCTTTTATTCTTATTTGCTAAATCTGATGACTCTAGACTAGCAAGAAAGACCAAAGTCCAGTGAGAGGAGCTACTGCTGTTGAATGCACAGGCTGGTGAGGACTGGGAGCCAAGCCTCACAATAAACCTGCCATGGACCACATAGAATCCTTGGCAAGGCGTTCTGGAAAATAGGAAGTTTGTGTTGAGGTCATCATGAAATTTTTATTTGGCTACATGCATGTGGAAAACAGATGTAAAAGTAAAGAATACAAGGGCTAGGGGTAGTGCTTAGCACTGCATGAGGCCCTGGGTTTAATCCCCAACATTAAAAAGAAAAGAAAGTGTCTCAGTGAGTCAGATAAAACTACATACATAAGCTACTAAAATGACACATTTTAGCCAGGTGTGGTGGCTCACACCTATAAACCTAGCATTCAGAAGGCTGAGGCAAGAAGATTACCATGAGTGCCAAGTCATCCTGGGCTACAGTCAACAACAAAATCAACTCAGAACAACAACAACAAAACAAACCAAACCAAACTAACAAAACAGGATACATTCTAATTTTCAAAGTTGCATTGGGTTTTGCTCTAAATTTTTTTTTTTTTTTTTTTTTTTTTTTTTTTTTTTTTTTTTTTTTTTAAAAAAAGAGGACGATAAATCTTTCACTGTGATATATCAAAATAA